ATCTCGGGGTCGGCAACCCTCACCCTCCAGCGTCGACCCTCCAGCACTTGCGAAGTCAAGAATGAAGGACATCGATGCAAAGAGCGATTCCGAAGTTCATCATCGAGATTGCGAATTCCATAATCTCCAGCAAAGATGAATTGTCGGAGAATTAACTCGTTTCACGGAGTTAAGGGGCTCGAGGGGCCCGGAAATTTTTTTTCCCGAGCACCACGAAAGCCCCATCGATTGCGGTCATTTCGGGTGAAACCGTCTCAGTAGATGATAAATGGTGGTTCGAGAACAGGGCGCGTGGCGTTAAACATCACATTCGAACAACGACGTCTTCGCTCGCGCCATCAAGAATCAAACCCTCTAGATGGAACAACGAGCCTCGCTGCTCATCAGCCTTCGAGCACGAGAGACTGCGGGAGGAACTCAAAGCCGCGAGCGCCGAGTCGGTCAGTGAGATGTGGATTGATTTTCGATTGATGTCAGGCACCGCAAGGCTTCGATGGCCACGACTGCGACGCGTGGTAAGCGGTGGATCCCTAAGCCTTCAGTGGTACAGGCGAGGCGCTCGCCGGAGGCCAATACGGAAGCGATTTACCCGGTTACTGACTCGAGTCCACGGTGACCCTCGCCGTTGACTACAACCCTGCCCCCGGCCACGCCCGCGAAGTCGACCGAAGACTCGAGCTGGCGATAATAGACCGAGGAGGTTATGCCGCAAGACGCCACGACAGGGATCATTCGTCGTCGACGTCACCGAGCATCGAAGTTCAACATGGAGCCGAGTAGGATTATCTCCCAAATTTTCGAGCCGAGGGAGAGTGACGCGATTCGGAAACTTAGTGTGGTCAGCAGGGTGGAATCACTTCTCTCCGATCGGTTCGCCAATGGTCTGACAGTGAATTCGCTCTGACAGCTGGTCACAGTCGCCAAGGATAGCTACAATTTCTGAGCTTATTCTGAGCCTGCCTCAAATCCCGTCGTCGCCAGAACGGACGGCGCCGGACGTCCCTCGAAGATCTCATATCCACAGCGAGCTTTACGCAAGGGTAGCTCGGCTCTCGCGCTAAGCTTCTCGGACACGTCAGTCAATTCGCCTGATCGAGCGATAGATCAAAGAACCGTTAGCTCGCTGCCCCGTTGGTCCCAGCACTTGAAGACGACGTCAAAGACGATTTTCTGGTTGAGGTAGTGGGCACAATGCCTCACCCATATGCAACAGTCGCTATTCACGTTGTGAGGCATGGAGTAAACCATGAATATCAATGGTATCGCTCATGCCAGCTGACGGTAGAATGTTCGGCAAACCAAGCGGGAGGAACGCGCGCTCAGGTCCCCGACAGGGAAAGATGTTTCTCCCGAGCCAGACCGTGCTCGATTAGTTCACTTAGAGATGCGACCAACGGAAGATGGAGCGTTCGGCGAGACGAATAACAAAAGACGTAACAAACGATTACCTGACATAACTAAGCGAGCGGGGTAACGAGTAACAAGATTGCTCAGACAAAATGAAAAGCAACTAAATTTTCGTAATCACGAAGTCGTCTCTTTTACAGGCTCTGCAGCGACTCTTCTGTCCGGGTCGCTCGCGTGACGGCTGAAGCGTCCCCCACATGGCACCTCTCGCTCGCTCTCGCTTGAACTTCCGCAATGAGTCTTTTGTGTATTCCTACATATTCCACAGAGATTGCATGACTCGCTCAGCATATTCGTGCTGAGGGAAATCCCTGATCGAATCTTTCGGTTTTTATCCCTTCGGCGTGATTCGACGTGAAGCAGAATAATACTCGCGGACGCTGGTATCGCGATCTGCTCAGTTTCCCGCTACGATGCATCAGAACAAGAACTGCTCGTGCAGGAGTCTCTTTGCGATGTCTACGAGTGGCACGTTATTCCCGGGCGATGATTCTATTTACTAATGTAACGAACACAGGGTCGATACGCGTGACAAAGTGCATGCACTCATTGGCCATCTGTAAGCGACACTCGTTCTTCTCGTCAATGCTATCATATTATACTTGAACCGGGGCTTACCGACGCAGAATACAATCCCAGAACCACGATAACACTGACGGTCTCCTTACGGCTCACAGGCTAGCCCGTGAGAAATCCAAGCGAACGGGGTGTATGAGACTGAAGAATTGCGGTCGCTTTCGCAGGTTCGGTCCGAAGCGGTCCGCGCACCTTCACCCACCAGCACACGATGCAGTCAGCTGTTTCGAAGAACGTCTGAGCTGAAGTCCACGACAGCCTTGATTTCAATGTCTTACCCGTTCTGCGCGACTGTTTTTAGCTACTGCTGCCGCTGCCGCTTTTCGGAGCTGTGAACGGGGCTAATATCATTTCGAAATATGACGACAACATAACTGTTGTAAATGCGCTCACCGCTGTTCTCCAGGGGAGATCACAATGCGTAAGATGCGGCCGGTGCGCTATTCCACCGCGAGAACGCCTGGCTCCAGCGAGTCGCATCCAACGAACGGGAATCACCTTTGTTTCATCTTCGTAAGCTGGAAGGGGAACCCTATGACAACAGAAACGAAGAAAGGAGGAACTACTGGCTCTGTTCAATAGAAACCCTAGAACTTCTGTTTCTATACAGACGGTCGTCGTACGGCGAGACTTCAGAGTGAACCCCTTTCCTCTCTATCTTTTCATTTGTCTGCATCCAATGATATTACCAGAAGTCTAGTCTAGCAGGCTCAATCCGATTTATTATCCGGGGAATCTTCAATGCCACGCAGAAGAAGAAGGAAATGAAGGAGTCCTGCCATTCAGACCGGATACGAGAAAATTATCGGGAGACTTCCCCTCGGATTGAACGATTCCGGACACTGAAAGCTATCCGTAGGCTTCCATGAAAATTTCGGGAAAGAAACCCGTAAAGTGAGAAGATACTCGCTGCCTATATCCGTGACCGTTTTGTTAAGTGATATCACCTCCCGTTTTTGGATCACCTTCACCATCGCGACGTCGGCCCGGACGGTCACTTCGTCCCGAGGTCTCCCGTCGTTCCGCGGAGCTCGATTTTCCCCAATGGACAGGCTTTTCCTCGCGGCTGATGACAGTAAATTCAACTCTCGATGAGCTCTGGGACCGGCGTCATCATCTCGCGATTCGCACGCCAGGGGCTTACGAGTCGGTGCTTCGAAAATTATCGGTCCGGTTGGCTCACTCCTAAGCTTTGGCTCTCCCCTGGTGGAGGAAGGACTGCGTGTACACAGAGGCGTCGTCGTACCCATGAAAGAAAAAAATCATAGAGACTGAGGAATTCTCCATGGCGATTGCAGATTCCACTGGGTCCGCGACTTTCGAAATTTTCATGGACTTCCGCGAATTTCGTCATTTTTACTGTTGATAAGTCATTCGTTTCATGTTTCTCGGTGGCTCACAGAATAAACGAAACATTTGATCCGGGCGTTGACTTCTTGGAAAGCCATCGCAATCGAATTTGCTCTGGATTTCTACGGGGGTCGGCGTGATCTCCCACATTCACAAGTCTGGCAACAGCCCAAAGTCTATTTTCCTCTCTCGCTTCTGAGAGGAGAGCCGGAGCAAACTCTTCGTCTAGGGATGCACCTGTAGAGTTGCAGGAAGCCCCCCCTCCTTCCCTCCCCGCCGTGATTCTGCGCGAAGTAGGCGATACCTCGAAGTGACGAGCAAATCCTGCTCCCATTCCGCCGTGGCGTCTTCCCAGACTTCCGATGCTGCTTGCTCCTGATCAGTCCCGTGTCGGCGGATCGAATGTTATTGTCCATATGAAAGGCACGAGCAGAACTGCTCCTGGTCTCAGCGCGACACACTGAGTGGGGAGTTGCATGAGCTGTATTGGATAAGCCGGTTCATCTTCGCGCTCATACTTCGCGCGACCAAGTCGATCGCGAATGGCTTCTCGAGGAGTCGAGGGAACCATGGATGAAATCCAGATGTAATCATCGACGGCGATCAACATACGAAATTGGCCTTCGTGTGGTACGGGAAGAGATGCGATCGAACGAGTCGTCCGAACGGAAAAGCCGGCTGCGATTTCGTCGACTGGCGGGCAGTTGAAGGAAGAATTCTTCAGATGAAAAACATCTGGTATTTTTTCGGGACTAGTATTCTATGGACTGCGGTGTACGGATTTTCCGTCCCCTCTTCCCGCGAGGACGATGTTCTCCCGCGCGCCCCGATGACTGGGTGCTTGTCGCGAAACAATGATCCGCCGAAAGCCCATGCGTGGGAGGAAATAATTCGACAAACTGTTTGGCGTTTCGGAATGTGGAGTCCGGGGGTCGATTCCCCGAGAATCCACGCGATAAGCCGACTGAGCGCGGCTCATGTCGAGGTATCCTTCGACCAGTGGCGGATTCTTCCAAGTGATTTTTTGTGAATGGTCTCTATTGGATCCATATGGTCGTCAGTTGAAACACAAGGACTCAGGAAACCAAGAGAGGAGGCTGGTATTCCTCCGCGGAGTGATTCCAACGAGCTCCGTGTATTGCATGGTCGCAGTGACTGAAAACTTTGAAACCGCCTTGGACGCAAAAAAATAATGATAGTCCTGTGACGCGGCGTGTACTCCTCGTCGAGTCTCCGTCATCTTGAAAGGAGACATCTTCGGAAGCCAACTTCTCCACAAGGCGCGGCTATCAAAACTTGGAGTTTGGAGCTCCATGGGACGAATCTCAGATTCGGATTTCTCTCAACTTGAGCGGATTTCGCATTCAGAAAGTTTCAAGTTGTCCGTGTAAACTGACCTTCGCCATCGCTCCGTCGTGTTTTTCCCGAGAACGGAGAGTTTTCTCGGTGGGCTTGACCAGCGCACGTCTCCAAATACCGAAACCTTTGACTCTTGGACCTTATTATTCTGAATGAAAAGCGTCGCGACTCCCGGGAGCCAAATGGCCGCTCCCTGAAAGCAGAAACTATCATCGAAGTTGCATCAGGAGAGATCTTTTTCGGGAACGATTGTGGAAATCAATCGATCTAATTTACGACACCTCTGGGAGACAAATTTATTCATGTGAGAACTATCGATCTAATTTATTGAGAGTTTGAGTCTAAATTCTTCCGAACGTCTCCCTGCCTCTCGACGATTCTCGCTTACTTCCGCAAGAAAGAAACATTCATCATCATTTATCATGATAGCGCTTATTCGTAATCAGTAATCAGCTATAACATGTAGGGATTATCAGTATTCACCAAGCAATGTTGCTTGCAACGATGTTGCTCCCATCCTGGGAATATGCTCTCTCGACCCACACACCGTCGAATCAATCAATCGTTAAGCATTGCCCCACAAATCGGGTCGAGGGTACCTCCGAACGGCCGATATTGTCTCCTCGCGGATTTCCCGCTTCGTAAGCTTGAACATTCTCCACCAAACACTCCGGGACTCTCTCTTGTTCCCTCATTTCCTACGCTTAATCTTAATACACACCGATCGAGCATCCCGAATTCAGAAATTAAATCATTAATTCAATATATTCCCGCATTATGTAGAGAAACATCAGCAGATTTGTGAACATTATCTTCCAGAAGAGTTCAAGCAGTCAACTTCATTCTGCACCGAGACGCAAGCGAGCTGGATAGAAATAGAACTTGACGGGCGAGGTCGAGTAGAAATCGAATTGTCTTCCGACGAGCTCGGTCTGATCGTGGGGACTTTAATGATAGTAGCTGAGGCGCGGAATGCAAATCGACATTCCTGACGGAGCTAGTGCAGAATAGGAATAGTTTGCCATTTATTGTTTTCGCCGTCGTTTCCGTAATCGAGTCTCATTCGAGCGCTGCGCTCGGCGACGCACACCTAATTATATCTTTGAGAAGCGACACTCAGGGGCTGTCACCCCATCGAGCACATACTGGGGAGAAATCTATATTGATCCGGCTTCATGAGGCAACGCCAGGAGAAATGAGATAAACGTCAGGAAGCTTCAAATGTCGTATACGAAGTGCTCGATGGAATTTCTCGACCGTTTTGTGCTTGGTCGACTGGACAGCCCTTCCTCACATCAAAAAAGGGTGCCTAGCCACAGTGGATGGCTTCGATATGCTCCCGATACTCCTGCCAGGAAGCATGCACTTTCTCAGATTGATAACGGACGACCTTGATGGATTTCCGCACATCCGAACTGATGTTGCCTGAAATCGAGTTTCCCGATTAGAGATCGCAGTGAGGAAGCCCGATCATCACCGATTCTGATTCAACCCAACGGATATTTGACGAGTCTTGGGTCCGAATCCCCTTCCTTACTCACCGCGGAATCCTCCTTTTCGTAGAAGAGCATCGATTGTTTGAACGTGGTCCCAATCTAGCTCTGCAGCTACTTCGGGCAGGAAAGTCGCACTCCGATGACAACCCTTCTCAGTTTCGAACTCGATGCGTACTCCATGAGTGCCGATCTGTGAGGGAAAGATATTAGGAAACAACGCTTCGCCCCGTTCGTGTTGATCCCTCAAAAGCAGTCAGGTGATTCGAAAGAACTCCCCAGTCGGAAATGTCGAAGTTTCTGTCGTGATAGTTACCTCCCAATCGAGATAATCCTTGGCGTCCTCGAAATTCGTGAGGAGGGACACAGCACAAGTGAGACGGGGCAGTTCGTCCTTACTAATGGGTTCGAACCTCGAATCCTTTAATGCACTCGTGAGCGCGTAATCTTTCAAACCATTGTGCAATTTCGTCGGAATGAAAGTTCCTATGCAGCCTCGTAAGCGCTTTTCGAGACCCACTTTCCACGTAACGAACAGCGGACTGGAAAATGTGAAGCAGGGTGAATGTCCAATCTTCGGAGCGTTTCGTCCTTGTCGCTGAAGCGCTGCCGTCGCGCCCGAAAAGCGATCGTGAGAGATAGGTACTCTTAGTGAGCCACTCCGCTTTGGGGAACTGAGTTTTCCCTCTTCCCCAGCAAAAGAGAGGGGGTCACAATATTGATAGTCGAATGCACTCACTAGCTCTCGTTGGTGAACTTAGGCTCAGACGGGGACTCCATGTGATGGAGATTATTGTACAGGACATCGAAACAATAGAAACACATCTCTTTCCTGGCGACGCGCGATGGTTCTAGGTTTCCATTCGCCAGTTTGGCTTTCTTGGCCGATTTTGGCGAATCCATGACCTTCTTCAGGTGGTGAAAAAATCCTGGAATAGAGAACATCGAGCTTGTAAAGATCTGAATTCGAGAGGAGCCTGAATGCGCCGCTCTGAGGGGAAGTCACGCATTCGGAATGACGATTGATCCCGGGGGACAAAGAAAACCTTCTTGGCGTTTGGCCTCGGCACAGAATCTGGAGCTTCACCGAATGCTTATGTTCGGACTCCTTCGGAAATATCCGATCCGATGGCAGCTCCTTGTAAATCGACTCAGAGTGAATAAAATCGTCGACGAAGAAATATCCTGCACTCTGGAGTGTCTTGGCAGATGCTCGGAATGCTATTGGATAGACAACACCCAGAAACACGGAGGATTGCGACAATGATCTATTTATATTGTGAAGTCCGTTTCCCCCCAGAGAGAGAGGGCGGTGAAACTCCGATACTTGGATAGAGATGTGTATCCTCTGGAGGAGCTTGATTCGCGCTCGTCGATGCTCGGTTATTCGACGCTCGAAACGTCCCAGGACAAAGTCGAAGGTGTGGAAACGCAGGTAAGGGCTCGTGGCTGTGGACGGCGGTACATGACGATTCGGCGCGGACGATTCGGCGCGAGACGATTCGGCGCGAGACGATTCGGCGCGAGACGATTCGGCGCAAAGGATGATTCGGCGCGAGACGATTCGGCGCAAAGGATGATTCGGCGCAAAGGATGATTCGGCGCAAAAGATGATTCGGCGCAAAGGATGATTCGGCGATAATCAATGAGAAAGGAAAACACAGGGATCCCAGGTCAAGTCATCTCACGTAATTTTATCATGTTTCTCACAAGCAAGGAAGGTTCTCAAACCGATAGAGAACTGGGAAGAAGGGAGGATGGTTTCCAGTGAGACTCCCGTGAGGATTAATTAACCGGTCGAACGGAAAGAAATTACGCGAAGGATTGACTTACGGCCACGGCCTCCTCAGAGTTCTTGTCTGCGATTTCTGGCGGAAACACTGATACGCAGTTGCGATGTCGAAAAGACTGATCAGAGGCATCCCAGCACTCAAAGCTAATGTATTCAGAAACGGGACCTGCAAGCATCAGGTGCACACGTGGAACCAAAATGTTACCGATGTTCCTCACTTCACTGCGCACAACATTAGGATTTGCGAGGTTTGCAGCGAAAAGTAGACCGTGAAATTCGACTTCACTCTGACGATTCCGTCGCTAAACCATCGTTAATTTTTCTCAACCGTGATATGCTTCCTCTTCGATCGCTAAGCGACCGGATCCTTTCTATCCAGCGCTCCGGATCTACCTTTGCGCCGAATCATCTTCCGCGCCGAACCATCCGTTGCGCCGAATTGTCCGGCGCCGAATCATCCTTTGCGCCGAATCGTCTCGCGCCGAATCGTCCTGCGCCGAATCGTCTCGCGCCGAATCGTCCGCGCCGAATCGTCCTGTTCCGGTGGACGGAGGCAAATTCACCACGGGCGTAATGAATGTTTTCTCTCCGGTGCCGAACGAGCTCGCTGTCGAGAAACGAATTCGACAGCTATACTCGGAGTTCCCCCGATGGCAATAGTCCTTGAACAAAGGTCAGCGGCGGGGCAAGCACAATCACTTCTCGATTCTCAAGGCACTTCGTGTAAAAGTGATGCTGTTGAAACGACGAGCGCTCGTCGATGATCGCCGAACCTTCCTCGAACTAGGTTCGCGCTTACGTTGCCTTGTCAGGTCGTTTCCCTGCTCCGCGTTCGCGTCATTTTCGGAAGAAAGAACGGAATTTCGGCGGGGGAAACTCAGGTCCGCGGATGACGGCTAGGCATTCCTTTATTACTTCCCCTCTGAGCCGTCGTCCTCCGAAGCCAATCGCCAGAACTCCCCGAGTCTTTCCAGAGGTCCAACGACTCTCGGAACATGCAAACGACTCGACCTACGCGAAACCTCTGAAGTGCTTCGTGCTCCGCGAGTCCCGGAGTCGAATCACCAGAGGACGTTTAATCGGGCTTTGGCCTTCGTCCGGTACGAGTTCGTTGCTCTTGCAGAGTAGATGAACGCGGACAACGGCATCGCTGATCGGGACCTAGCTCTCCCGGCTTCGAGAGCAAGTGCATGAGTCGATCGGCGACTTGGGATATGACAGACGATCGCGGTTTCTTGCAAAGTCATGGAGAGATCGTCACAATGAGTCTTATCCCACTTCCCTGATCTCGAGTTCCCCCTCCCGACCTACCTCAAGTGGAGTCTCTCGCTGAGCAATACGCATGGGGGTCTAGTCATTATATAGTAATGATGATGATATCAGTTATAACAATCATATAATAGGTACATGAATTATCATTATGAATATTATTATATTGGATCTTCGTGTCGATTGTCCATGGAAGATATCAATTTCAAACGGCTTGAACCGGCTGCGTTCGCACTCATCGAACGCGAAAAACTGTCCTGGCAAAGGACTACGGCTCCACCGCGCCTTTCCCCGCACCGAAGCGGGCTCTTCTTTTGATTTGAGATACACGTCATGAGGGAGCCCACTCATCGTCAGCTATCTGAAGGAGAAGCCGATCATCGGCGCGGGAGCTGCTCGCGCATGCACGGCGAATTTTCCGAATGACCCGCAGCATACACAGCAAATGTTCGAGGATTCGAAACCGCGACCTTCGCATTCGCGAAATCCGCAGCAGTTCACCGTAGGCGAGGCAATAGAAGATGCAGAAAACGCTTCTGAGCCGAACTAGGTAATGTCTGCATGGGAAATACGGGAAAAGCAAAACTAGGCAGAACTATCGCATGGCCCTAAATCCTTCAGCTCTAGTTATGAGAAAGAATTTTCCTACTCTTCGATTGAAAAACACCGACTACGTTCAGAGAATAGAAATTGAGGAGCTGGAACGTACTTCAAATTTCACACGTAGGTAGAAGAAGCCACTCACGATATGTCGCTCACTGTTCCTGGGAAGGCTTGTGTCGTCAAGCGGATACGACTCTTCTCATGAATAACTGCGTTCCAAAAAGTTCGTCGTATTCCAAGATCAGCGACAGCGTTGCCGCCGAAGAGTGATTCAGAACCAAGGCTCTCGAGAGAGTTACCAGAAATCATATGAGAGTTCCCGCATCGTTGTTCGTTTCTCCGCCCATCTAATCTCCCCTGACCAGCTGAGGTCGGAAAGAGAAGAAAGAGTCCAGGACCGTATCGGGGAGTATGACGCCACTCATAAATCCCCGAAGACATCGAGCTAGGCTGCTCTGTCCCTCGGAATCGACCCGCGTCTGGGTCTCCATTCGATCCTAGCGAAGAACCGAGCCCCTGGCGGAGCTGGAATCCGATCCGAATCGGCTCCGCGAGCGGCCGAGAATCTCCAGCGGAGAATTTGGTTTATAGGAGCTCGGCTGGAAGTTCCAAGGGGCTCTTGACTGCGGAGGAACGCTTCTGGAAGTGTTGGATCTTGAGCGCATCTTTGCGCTCAGCTTCGAACACTGCCGTACTCAGTTGAACGTGCACTCACCCCTGGGTGCCGAAATGACTGCGGCTGATTGGGGACCGTTCCCTGGGAAACAGGCGAAAACGTCAATCTTCCTCACACAGCCGAGCTGGTTTCAAACGGAGGCCCCTGAGCCCAAGCTACGAACAGCTGAAGGAAGTGACGTCATGAGCAGAGCAAAGGTCCAACGACTTTCATAGAAGCCTCGGGAGAGGCCGCATAGAAGGATGGCGCGATTACAGGCGCGAAGAGTTTTCGCGGGAAATTCATGCACTGCACATGGGAATGGGAGACCAGGAAGAGCGAATAATGAGTCTCGGTAGCTTGTGGAGTTCTCAGTAAGTTGTTCGCGAATTCATCAGGAGCCAATGAGACACTCACGAGTTGAGATCGCCGCTGAAATTCACCTCCCATTGCCCTGGGCTGCGATGCTGCAGACCGTCAGAAAGGCTGGGTATCGTTTGCCCGAATTCCGTCTGCCGGAATCCCGAATGCTTGAATTACATTTGCCTAGATCTCGGATGGCCGAATTTAATTTACCGGAATCTCGGAGGCCTCAATCCGAGATGCCAGAATGCCTCAAAAGTCCCGCGCTTCGATCTCACACAGAAAACCTCCTCGTGACTCGTGATAGAAGGTTCAATCCGCCTCATTCTTTCTCGGATTGTAAGACCCCTACAGCATGAGTCCATTGGAGACCCCAAGTCTCCGTGGTACAACTGCTGATGGTCGTACGATTTGATGGTTATCGGCATACGTGATCAAAAATGCCTCATGAGGACAATTTGTTTTTTCTTCCTTGAATTTTCTTCGTCAAAGCAACTCGTAAAGGGGTGACCCTATGATTCTCAAAAGAAACGGCGAGTGCGGAGGACGGGATGACTGAATGGAATATGAGGGAAATGCATTGGCGCAGGACTCAGAGGAGTGGAAAAATCATCTGCAGCGTAGGGCTCATGGGAAGAATACCCCATTCAAACCGCCCCCCCCCTCATTCGTGAAGAGAAACCTATGGCCTTTAAGGGACCCTTCTCCCTTTTCGTGTGTAGGAGGGAAGCCATGCAAGGAGAGAGCATTTCGTAGACGCGGGGGGGGGGGGGGGTAAGTTTATTCAGCTCTCGAGACAAGTTTTCGAGTCTACTGATAGCAAGGTAGCAAGTCCAACGATGGTAATCTAGCATCCATCGTTTTTCTCACACCACATCAAGTGCCTCTCCGGCCATATTCAGCTACTCATGACCCATGACATCCCCACTGCTATTTCACATTGATTTTCATCTAGTCTAAACAGGGAAAATTCTCCCTCGCGCACATTCAAGGAGGATGTACAAAGCGTCGGTACCGAAAGGATTTTTTCGAATGAAAGGATCATGAGGCATCCTCAAGAGCCACTGTTCCTGAGAGAATCGGTATGCAAGTTGGAAGTCACCGCGGTCACATACCGCATCAGAGAAATTTCGCTTGATTCATACTTCTCGACGAGTTCCATCAGGTTTTCATTCAACTTTCGATACTTTCTGGCAGGCGGGGAAGGTGCTTGGCCCATCCTTAGTGGCGGCATGAGAATCCTATACTTTTGTTCTTGATGCTGGAGTCGCTTGATCATTTCGAAAACATTAACATGATTCATACGGCGATTTCGAAGTCCAATCGGAAGCTCTTGGAATCGAAGGCTTTGCCGATCGACGAAGCGAAATTCTTCACGTGTACGAACATGCGCCGATAGGTGTCCTTTCGTTTGTCCGGTAGCAAAAAAAAGCCAGAGGAACTATCTGGCCTCGGTAGAAGGCGTGTAAGCTGTAGAGTTGTAGGAACAATTCAGGAAGTACTCGAAAAGTGCCATCCATGAAGACAGTGTCTGCTTCAAACAGAGCGAAAAAAGATCTTCCCTGCCGTCACAGAGAGTGCCAACGGCCGGGATTCTCCGATTTCCGGGGAGAACTGAGGGACGCCGGCGTCCCCCAGTGCCACCTAATATGTTATGAGCAGGAAGGGTTCGCCGTCAAGAGTCTTCGTCCAAACGTCGTCAAGTTCAATGTCACTCCTGCACATCGGGAGCCGTGGCCTTAAAGACCCACGCTTGCGATGTCAAGCACTTCGCACCGATGCGAAAATCGGCACAGGAAGTCCGATTTCCTCTTCATTGAGATCATCTCGCAGCTCCGATACGACCGAGATTAGAGATTCTGCGTAGACCCGCTTCATTCCTCCATCTTGCTGATCAACGACGGCTTTCTTCATTTTTGCTCCCGCTGACAATTTCAGGAATTTCCCGTCGTCTGGGTCGTGATTGTGCGAGCCTGAGAGTTTGACTATGGTGGGTTCCGGTGCCACTGCATAAGAGAGATAAATGGAACGCATAAGAGAGCCATATCATCGCAAGAATGACTGGTTGGAGAGCTGTATTAGTCATTATTCATAACAATATGAACAAATCTCACTTTGCAGAGAATTTCGCCATATTCCGCAAGGACAGTACAGCTTCTCGAGGATTTTTTCTCAACCTCATAGAGGAATCCCTTCACTCGATAAAGAGATCGACCCTTCGACGATTCGACTGATTGTACACTCATATTCGGAGGACTTCTTTAAAAGAGTGAATATCTGATACCTGCTCAACTCACAACGGTCACTTTGATGGAAATGACTTGGCGACTTCGGAGGAGGATGTCACATCGCAGACAGCACATTGTAAGATTGGAGCACGCTTCGTTGTCAGCCGCGCCCGAATGATAAATGATAACAATGAAGGCAACTTGCAGCGTTGCGAGTTGCGAGCCGCAAATTGCAAGCTTTGTCGCAAGAAATCTTCCTTCCGAGCTCGTTGAGTTCAATCATTGCAGGATATCAAGAGCCAAGAGTTTGCGCGATCTTCAAAATCTGCGATGTAAAAATTCGCGATTTTGTGCGTCCTCGTAGAATATCCTGGCTCGCAGGAGAACTCCGCCTTTGATATACGATATACGACGGAGGATAGTGAAGGGAATGTGATGATGACGATATATTTCATGGAATGAAGCCGAAGAAATAATAATCTCTTCGAGTAGTCTCTACGAGCTCAACTCTAGGTCTAGAAGAGTCTCTTCATGCTTTTTTCTCCGAAGTTTCCAATTGACTAGCAAAAGAAAAATGCTAATAAGGCGTCATGCGAAGCCTTGCGTTCCGCAATCGTTTCGTGCTGTGGGTTTATGTATGTATATGAAGATATAGACGGACTGAACCTTCTATCACGAGTAACTAGAAGGTATCCTCGTATCCTGTTCGGAATCGAGGCACGGAAGGAGTCAGTCGAGACATTCGGGCATCTGGGATTCCGGCATCCGAGATTCCGTCAAACGGAGTTCGGCCGTCCGAGATTCCGGTAAATGTTATTTAGGCATATGAGATTCCGGCAAATGTTATTTAGGCAGATGAGATTCCGGCAAACGGTATTCGGGCATCCAGGATTCCGGCAAGTGAAGTTCGAGCATCCAGGATTCTTGCAAGTAAAATTCGAGCATCCGGGATTCCGGCAAACGGTATCCAGCCCCACACTTGATGGTGGGATCGGTGGAAAAGTCCCTCCTCAGTACGGCCGCTGGACCTCCGAGGAGCTGATTCCTATGGCACCAGTCCAATGTGCATCCTCGCGATGAACTATTAAGTCACAGTTTCCGGGGCCCTATGGCTCAATCGAGCCCATGCTGGGAAGGAATCCAGAATCTCCACTGGCCGTCGACCAAGATATCAGCAGGAAAATTATTCTTAACTGCGGCTCCCAGCACCAGATTGTATATTTAAATCGGCACGAAATTCTCATAGCTTCGACTTCACCAATCAGCCTCCTCACCTTGTTCGCCGATTCTTCCCGACTCCTCCGCGCGAAAATCCGCTTTAAGCATCTCCCTCGACTGCGCACTGTGTGCATAGAGTGCGGCAACACACTGAGACTTCTTCCAATCATCCCAGTCGACTGCGGCTCTTATCTCCGTATATTCCTCCTCAAATAATTGGTTCATGGACGGGGAGCTCAGATGCGCGGGGGGATCCTCTGAGCTCGGGCCCTTCGCTACTTCGGATTCGAGGCTCTCACTTCATTGCGGGGATCTTAATTGATAATCAGATCTCTTAGCAGACCCATGGCCAACTTAACAGATGTCTTCCTAGAGCGAGGTATCCGTGGTGGTCTCGAGAACGTCGAAACCTCGGACTCTGAACCCACGGGAATCCAAATGCATCTCCGACTCTAGTATGACGACTTCAGGGCTCGCCGGGGTCCATCCGACCCACTGCATGGAAGAAGCTTTGATTTACTTGAAGTATTGTATGGAGTGAGTTCGTTTCTAGAGACCAGACTCCTAAGTCGTTCACGGGCAATCATTCGGCTCCTCAGGGAAGAGCATACTTATTCCGCTGCGAGATTGCGCGGCGGACCGGGTGCTCATTCTAGAGGTCGCCGCAGCAAGTCCGATGGGAGAGCCCGATTTGGTTGTTGACGTCCTCGAGGGACAGTCTTTCCCTTTCCCTCTTCCTTGAAGCCCCGTTTTTCTGCCGTCCTGGGACTTCCTCGCCCTAGTTCTCCATGTTTCTGTTGGCCCCAAGTTTTGAGCAATCGCTAAGGTCCACTCTGGCTCTGGAGAACGCACAAATGTGGATCGTCGGGCGTATTCGTCCAGTCGACAAACCCACGCCGGCCTTGATCTCGTTTTTCCCACGCTCCCTTCCTCGACGTATGGCGTCGATGTAGACGTAGGCAATGGAGTAGAGGTATCTGCGAACAAATTCTCGAGGAACAACCCCGGATATCGTCTCCGTCTCTTGACGAGGAAAATCATGTAGGTAAATGAGCGCAACGCTTCTTCTACAATATTGCGAGGAGCTTCGCGGAAGTTGAGAACACCTACATGAACTGATGTCAAGTTTTTCTCCTGCAGGCATCCCTGGGAATCGAGTTGAAAAGTCTTTCATCTGACACGCTCACGGAGGCCGGAAGGTAATCGATTCCCATTCCTTCGTCCGTGTGACCTAAAGCTCCACGACTCGCAGAAGAAATAATCACACTTCCGGCGATGAGGTGGTCCATGTAGAAGCCGCACCCCCCCCCCGGATGGCCACTCTCCTAACATTCTGACCCCTGCCCAGAGAAGTTCTGGTGAGCATGATACTCAGATTTCGAAGGGTTCCGATTGAGCTCGATTGGGGGAACTCGGTCAGAGTCCCGATGTGGCTATGTGTCGGAATATCAGATCGAGAATCCGAGCGTAATGCTGCTTCAGAAAAATCGCAGGAGCAACGTATTTGCTTTCTGGAGTACACTTCAATCGCTTCTGGTGGAGCGACTCGAGACCCTATATACATGTGTGAGGCTGAGGCTTAACTACCTAATTCCAGTGGCGAGCTATGGAGCCAATCATCGCGGGAGAGAGCGCGTATCAGGCGCCCAAGGTCGCCGGCAGTCGATGCTCGCTGACGCTTGGACAACTTTGTCACTGTCCCTTTCCCGCTCCGAGCGTCCTGTCGAAAACGTCTCCAGGCCACCGAATATGGTGGAGTGGTGCGCGGTCCTCTCCCTACACTGTATCCCTCAACCATCAGCTTTGGTGGCTCTTCTCGCCATGGAGTATCGCCACAGGCTTCCAGATTTAGTGAGTACCTGTTTCTTTAAATCTCTCAAGCACCGGCTGATCGGCGACGCGTGAACCTCTGATTCAGGGCTCGCCGGTCATTCTACGGGTCGCTGCAATTTTCATAGACCCGTCGCTCCATGTGCCCTCCGGCTCGCCAGGCCGATTAGAAATAGCGGTTGTCCGTGATAGAATTTCATGAGTGACAGTCTGAGGAAGCTGTAGACGAGTCTTACTCAGGTCTCTGGATGGACCACGACGCCGCGCTACCGTCGTCGTCGATGGTCTGTCGGGCTTCGAGCTGACTCTATTCATAGCAGCAATGCCAGACCTGCCGAAGGCAACACGCTCTCTGGGTTCTAGTGCTTGCCACGGTGCTACTGAACACTTTGCGTGTTCGAGCCGCACTGGTCGTGCAGAATCTCTCTCCGGTTGAGCACGAAATAAGCGATTGGACGGTGGTGAGTTGAGCCATTTCATGGGCTTAATGTTTCGGTGGACGAACGAGATCGCCGCCCGTGAGATACTGCTGCGACTGCAAATGATCCTAAGGGCGACTCGAGGATTCTCCGACCGTGCCCCGTGTCTGTGATCAGATTTGATTCCCGAATATTCTCAGCTCCCGAAAGACTCCTGAGGTAATTCTATCACAAATCTCTGCAACTCGATGGAGCGACGATTTCAGTACGTTTCGCCATTCCATAAACCTTTTTGTCTGCGAAGATTTCTGGAGGCTACCGTAGCAGCAACAGAGTGATTATCTCTCAGCATTGGGCTCCAGCCTAGCCGCAGCTCTTGCTGTGACAGGCAGCAGTGCTCCCACCTTTGAACATACTCATATTGCCCGAAGAACGCGACCTCCTGATTATTTCGGACGTATCTATAGATGACAGCGATTTTTCTTCGTGACAAAAAGTTCGGTCGAGATCTCGTGCCTTGGGCTCGGCCGATGCTGTGATTTTCATGCGCATCCAGCTTTGGAAATGTTGAGCGTGGAACGGTGTGGATCGATTCAGAGATCAACTAAGTTTATCGGAGTTATCGGAATTGATCATTGGTACCACGGAGAGCTCCCTGTTTGCGGGCAGAAGGTCGGTGATTACGATTGAATACATTGAATCATGAGGCTCTTCAACCCCGGTATATATGTTCCAGAATGGACACAGTATGGTGGCTCCTCGAAGAGTCCACCCCATACGGGGTGCTCTTCATGAACAACGTCATATTCATACTGTTGCGTAAGTTGTGTTTTCTGGTTGTGAAAGAGAGGTTCGCCAAAACTCGTATTGTTCTGGCAGAATTCCTCGCTACCTGGGAACTTTGTGCCGACGTGGCGGAGCTCGGTGAGTGACACGGGACTCGGAAAAATGTTTTTTGTCACGCTTGGTGTTCGGACTCCTCTGAAAAAAAAAACACCGGCAGCAGGGACGAGTCATGTGAATGTCTAAGAATCGTATCCTTCTCCCAGGTATCGTCTACGAGCGGCACGGGATCATAGCATATACAATATTCCTTCTATATTGGTGCTTGTGGTGGGGAAAACATTTCGGAGATGCTGAAGCGTGTCCGAACGGTCCAGTGGAAGACGTCTTGTTCGGTTACGGTGCGGGCGACTACAAACAGCGCCTCCTAGGACAGACTCTCGGCGCGGCCATCACTGGCACGTGAGTTGACAGATGCCGGAGCACCACCTGTGATATCTCCGGTGGCCTGACCGAAGAAACATAATTCTGCCTCACATCGAAATCTTCGAGTGATCTGGATTTGAATTCATTTCTCCGCGCAGCTACATCCAGCAGATCTGGTCTCTGCATCTCATCGATCAACACAAAGTAATGAACACAGAAGAATGCCAGAGTTCCCTTATGGTGAGCGAGACTGTGAACTCCAGCGGCTAAGAGCGAGAAATGAAAAATATTGGAAGTCTATGGGGAGCGATTCCGTGGGCACGGAGCCTGAGGAGGAGATTTTTTACAGACGACGGCTTCGTGGGGTTTCATGGTCGAAGCCTTCATCTCATGCGTTTCGCGGTTTTTCGCTCTAAGATCTCAATACTGGTCGGAGAAGACGAGCCTGTGGATAAATTCGGTAGTGACCGTCATTCTTTGCCTCGTCGGTGAGTGACGTCTTCGATGAGCCTCTCAATGAAATAGTTTCAAAGCTTCAACTCTTGTCCGACTGCCTTCCTATGGAAAGAATGATTCAACCTTCGACCCATTACAGCGCTTAACTCTACTGGCGGCTATTTCAACGGTATGATGGCTTCTGCCTTGATGCTCGGATGCGGACCGCACGGATACTTCGAGCACTTCGCTGTTTACTGGGGCGGTAATATATTCGGCGGTTTCCTCGCCAGATATTTCAATCGCAAGCTGGACTGCTTCATTGATCGGTGAGTGAATTTCTGAGGGCGTTCCGGATGAGTCTGTTCCGACATCTTGATCGCTTGTCTCAATGGTTTACAAGTTCACAATTGATTGATTCGAGGTACAGACGCGGTGAGTGAAATACCGAACGGTTCCCGGGGTGTGAAATGAATTCTTGGCGATCGGGGCAGAGCGGCGGCTTGATCCGACCATCGTTGATATTTTCCTCAATGAAGGTCTCGATGTTTTTTCAGGATCTGCACTCCCGAAACGATATTGAACAGTGACGAGAAGGAAAAAATGCAGTGATTCCCCTTATGCCAAGCGAGCATGCCAAAATGTGATGTATACACCTCCTCTTTGTTGACTTTGCCAGACTTTCTGAGGCAATAAATTTTGCACTCCTTGTGCGTTGTTATAAGCTTACTAAAACCAATCGTATTCGGTCGGTACTGAACGTCTCCCCTCATGCATTATGCCTCGAATCCCAAACGATCAAGGCCAGGGCTCGAGCTTCGAGGTGGAGAGCGGCGTTTGTCGAAATCCGATTCCGTCCTATCGATTCTATCGTGCGCTGCGTGTTGAACTTTGACGCTTTATGCACTCGATTCTCTGATTCGCTGTACTCCCTTATCTTGGATGCCATTCTCCTAGTGCTCGGCAACGCTTCAATGACCGAAAACGGTCAATTTTTTTCCGGGGCTGTCCGTGGAGGGTCGCACAATCCTCCGAGAGAGTGGATTCGATCGAACATCGGTCGTCGTTCCCATTTCTCACAAGATAAGGCAACCTAGATAGGCGAGACTACGAGAGGAAGCTACTCGCCAGCACACAGCTTCTCTACTGCGGGGGAGCGGGAATATAACGGGTCACGAGGGAGCTTCACGAACCCTGTCGGAAACTTCCACGGATGAACGGAAGAGGATTTATGCAAGGAATATTGCCATCCCACAATTCGCTCGCCGTTATCCTCTTCAAAAATCTATTGTACTCCGTCGACAACCTTGCGGAAGGGTAGAGGAAATTCTCATGAGACGAGCCGAATATCATGATTCTTCGAGTTTCAACACAGAGCGTCGAGTTCAGCCTCGCTGCCCGTTCGTATGACACAGGCATTTTATATCGTGTTCGGAGCATTCATGGCACACACCGAAAAAACTTTAAATATATCCCAATAAGCGTGGAAACGGATTCATATACGGTAAAACAGCATTCACATCAGGTACGTACTCTATATCACTCGTTCTCCGAGGCTCGGATCTTCACCTATAAATATGTGTATGACATCCTAAACCGATGTACAAATGAGAAATGTTCCGTCAAGAAAAAAATGCGAAGATCACATGGTTGTGATCAGGCGACGGTTACAGTACAAGATATTCCTTAACAAACAGTCGTTACGCTCCGCGATGTGAGCTCAGTAGACAAAGAATTTCTTTCGTGATCGAGGAGCCAATTCTTCAGTTGGTTTTTGGTTCCTCCGCAGTAGTTCCCATTTTGGCCATTGCTCTTTATTACACGATGGCACGGCACCAGGATTTGGAATGGATTCTTTCGCATGGCACTCCCTGGAGTCGGGAACTTCCATTAGAATTTCAGCTCGGTTCGAATTAAGAGAATCTGGGATCTCAATTCCAGTGGAAGCAGGTGTCTCATCTATGTAGGTACACAATATCGTAGCAACAGGTATGCCGTACCGACTGCAATCGCCGCACCAGGTCGTCCCGCGAGCTTAGCGAGGCTTCCGTAGCTCGTTGTGGTTCCAAAAGGTACTTTCGAAGCCAATGTCAACCAGACCTGAGAGGAATAAACCAAACTTCGAATAAGGAAAATCAACGCTCGGTCGGTCGCTGTGAGTCCCGGAGAGGGGTAAATAATATCATATGAGACGGTTCGTGGTAGAAGGAGCTTTGTTCAGTGGACGAACTTACTGTCTCGAGGAACAAGCCCTTCGGCGAGCAAATGCATTGGCAAAACGGTGGCAAGCTGAAGTCTGCCAGGGATTTCGGGTATTTGAAATAGGCTTCGAACCAACTTATGCAACTGAGGGCAGGTTTGAACATGTAGCCGTTATCGTCGAATTCTTTTCGAAGCAGGACAATTGACATTCTGGAAGGCAAATGAACGTCCATTCTCCGGAGGCTCCGCGCAAGCAGGGGTCCGATATCCATTTCTTCCAGCGGAAAATTTGAACTCACTGGGGATCGGGCTGGAAATCTGGGTCTTCGACTTGCCCTACCGAATGAAGGCCATTCGCACAGCTCAGGATCTGCATGGTGCCGATTGGAGTCGATACGAAATACGTGTTGCACGGACCGTGCAAACACCGCAAAGATGAGAGCCGCTTCTTCGGGGGCATCTGAGACCGGAAAGAATCATTTTCACCTGTCACTCTCAAAACAGCACCGCTGTGACAGTTCAATCCATATGTACATATATCTGCCCGTTCCTGAGCATTCCCTGTGCGACCGTGAGGCGATGGTGGTGGCGCCGCGCCGTTCCCGAGGGAGAGAAAGCCCTTTTCCGGGTGGATAGAGCTCGGACCGATCTCGGCTCACCACAGCAATTCGAGAGGACGGGAAGAAAAATCGAAAACGAGAGCACGGGCGCTTGTCCCTCCCGGATCCTGAGCACGAAACGGACACGGGAGCGAGGCGCGAATTCGGCGTTCGACTCTCCAGATGAAATTGTCCCTCAGGGCGGCACGACCGGCATCATAAGCTCGCTTTTTCCAAAAATCAAAATCCGCATCCCAGTGCTGATGTCTGTCATGCTACTTACGTTTACAGATGCGAAACCGATCGATTAGGTTCCCTCTGCTACATTCAAAATTTTCGCTCCAGGTTCCCCTCTCTCTCGGATCTGTACTAAAACACAGAACTTGAGAAAGGTGCGCCCCTATGTTTCTGACAGCCCTGATTCTGTTTTTTCTTGCTCCTCGATTCGAGATTCTGAGACCGCGGGAAATCGGCGGCGGAGGATGAGTGGCCGGTTACCACCCCACGCCAGTCTCTGATTATGGCAAAGCGAGAACAAGTCGAAAAGTTTCCCGAGGGTTCGCCCTTTTCCGCAGTGGGCGTCTGCTAACCAACGGAGAGAGCCTGATGTCGTTCCTTTCCCCTGCGAGCTGCTGCGAGTGTCTCGGCCGACAACAAACAACAACGAAGGAACGCGTTTGAATCCATCAGCTGAGAGGCTGCGTCGAAGCTGCGGGTGCTGTTGAGTGTTTTTTTTTCTCGGTGATGGTGGTGGCGGCGGTGGTGGTGTAGACGAAAGCTGAGTGAGTTACGGCTGCTTCGAGTATTCGTTGGAGACTTCGATCGGATTCGCGGTGCGCTGCGATGATTTCTTGGAGTCGGTCGCAACTCTGCTCTACGCAGCTCTCATTCTGACTGAGTTTGAAATTCATCAGGGGACATGGAAGACCCCGAAGAACAGGAGAAGCAGTTCCATAACGCAGTTCGCGAATACACTCTCGGGTTGCTGTTCTTCCTGCTTCTCTATATGATCAGCTATTACATCATAGACTTTTTCCGCAAGAAGAAAGAGTCGTACTACGAGAACGACGCTCAAGATGCTCTGGTCTACAAGATATCGTTGTACATGTGCAGCTTCAGTCTGGCCACATCAACGGGAGCGGCTCTGCTGCTACCGTTATCGATCATCAGCAACGAAGTCAAATTGTTATGTCCCACAAGTTTCTACTGGGAATGGCTGAACAGCTCCCTCGTGCAAGGACTCTGGAATGCGATTTTCCTCTGCAGTAATACATCTCTGTTTGGCTTGTTGCCGTTCGCGTATCTGTTCACTGAATCCGAAGGCCTCCCGGGCTCGAAGAGAGGCGTCCTCTCGCGAGTGTACGAGAGTGTACTTGTCTTGACGCTCACAATCACCATATTGATCGGGATGGTCTCTGTCATTTCAATGGTCATCGACTCAACCTACTCCATGGAGTACATATTCACGTCGGGGTTTCTGCCGTTCCTGTATTCCATCGTGAGCTTCTTCGGTTGTCTCCTCCTATTGATATGCACGCCCTTGGGTTTCGCTCGTCTCTTCACCGTCATGTCGGAGTGGATCATGAAGCCTGCATTTCTGCGCGACGTCGACGAAGAATATCAGGAAGCTCTACTCGAGGAGCAGCATTTGAAATGGAAACTCGACGGGCTTGCCAAGAACGCCGCCTTGGCACTCATGGCGTCGAACGGCTTAGACGTCTTAGCCGAAAGACACCGAATAGCCGCTCAACGCCTCTCTGAACTCGAGAATCAACGCAGGAAATCCATTCTGAGAACGATTATCTACCCCGTAGCGATGGCACTACTGCTCGTTCTCACCGTCTACTCGTTCCTGCTCGTGCTACGGAACATCTTCGAACTACTTTTCGGCATGAAGACGCTGCCCATCGTGATCCAAGACACAGTACCGGCCCTGGGCATCAACTCACTATCGAGTCTGGGGACTGTCGGATGCGCTCTCGAAATCATCCTCATCCTGTATCTATGGGGAGCATCGCTCGTGGGCTTCTACTCTAATCTGACGTCTCTCACGCCACGGCGAAGCTCGTGCCCGCTCATGAACGTCATCATAAACTGTGCGGTGTTCTCTATTCTGAGTTCGGCGCTACCATTGCTCTCACGAGTGATCGGACTGACAGATTTCGATTTGCTCGGCAACTTCGGGAAAGTTCGCTGGCTGGGAAACTTCACTATTGTACTAGGGTATAACTTGGTGTTCGCCGGCTTCACTTTGGGCTGTCTCATGACGAAATTCACCGCAGCCACTCGCCGCGAGTTGATGAATCGAATGAAAACGTTGTTTGCGCCTCTGACTCGATTCCAACTTTCAATGATCTCTGGTTACCTCCTCGCTCATTGTCCTAAAATGACTCGTTAGTCCAATATTGTTCACAGCTCCCGAGCAGGAGGTCAACTTTGCAACGAAAACGTAACGTGGCTGTTCCACGACACCTTCCGCTGCCCCAACGGTGATTACGTATCTGATAGAACTCACTTCTGATGGTTGAAGCACCCGTTCAGAAACGATTACCTACTCGGCCGAGAGTTTCTCATGTGAATATAGCTACGGATTGTTGAGTCGCCCCTCGAGACGTTGGATACCCGATGTTTCTCGCGCCTTGTTGGGATATGTCTGTTTCATCGGAGAAACTCGAAAAGATCTCTCTATAGTTCATAGTGAATGAGACTTGTATTTATTAGGTTCGGTTGCGTGCTAACTATGGTCTTGCATTAGCAATAACTTGGTCGAGTGGCAGCCACTGTCCCAGGATAGTTTCTACGTTAAGCTGTACATATCGATGTATATGAGAGAACATGGTTCCTACAGATCAGCTTTGCCGTGAGAAAAGCTCGAGACTACGAAGACCTGAGCTCGTAGCTCATCTTATGGTGTCGTAGCCAAGACGAACCAATAAAGTTTCTGTACCTTGTACCTACATTGAAAAGAGGCCCTCGTTGTTTATACTGATGTAGTTTGCTGTGACGATTCGTAAACGCGAAATCCGGAGCAGAGATTTCCTCTCATTGACGCATGGAAAATTTGACGTCGCTGATAAATGCGTGTTTCAACTTCCGCTCGAGGCAACCTCAAATCTAATTCACCGCGCGGACACTCGTGAGCGGCAGTACCTGCTCGAATTTACGATTTCTGGATGACCCTCGACGTGTCAGAGATGACGCATCGCTCGTCCTCTGTTTAGCTGACGTATTTTTTTTTCTGGTGCTTCCATTCGTTGTCTACTTCTCGCCGATAGGAAGAGAAAAGAGACCCTTCGAAAAATCTGGATCTCGCAATTTCTCAGGTCTGGGATTCTCGAGTTTTTCTGATTGTGGAATCGTCTCCCCTTGCGGGCTCTGGGGCTCATTGCAGAGAGACAGGCAAGCTTCATTCTGTGCGCTTCCGGGTCATCGTGCGGTTTTTCGCATCGGCAGAGAATTCCGCGCTCGGATCGCCGGTTTTCCTCGCAAGGACAACCGGAGCGGAAATCCTCTCAGTTTCCTCGGCAGAAATGATTTTCTCCGAGAAATATATCGAGTCGGATCGATTCGATGCTCCGTCTCGTAACTCGATAAATCTGTGTCTGAATGTTCCCCGCTTTCTTCAATGAAAGAATGAAAAGAGATGGAAAAACTATGGAAACGGGAAACATCCGACCGGTGTCAAGTTTCGCGTTCGAAAGCTGACACTTAGTATCGCTTATGAAAAATTGGCGGAAACTCGCAAATTGCTGAACACGAAACTTTGCCAGCTGTCTGCGTCATAAACGATCCTGATCCGGGTCATGGATCCTCTCGGACAGACAGATTCCGATCCCATGAGCGGCGGAGATTCTCAGAGCAAAGTGTTGGGGTATCCTCAGTGCCAGTAGGTCCATCTCGTTTGCTGTTTGTAAAATTCCCACTCTGAAGGTGACGCTCCACGAACAATCGGAAATTACTCTCGTGACGCAGGAACCGCCCATCGTCCGTCGTGAGCTACGCAAAGTCGATACTGAGGCTTTCCACGGACATTAGAACCAAAACACGTTCATGCCTTATTCAAACAATCATTATAAACTTCGCGCCATCAGGTAGCCTCGTGGTTTTCCAGCGGGAACATGTGCTTCACATTCACTGGTATGAATTGACAGCGACGGAATCCAAGCAAATGGTCTTACGCTACTCTCTCAGCGTCACCGTGATAGATGCTTAATCACGTGTCTGAATCGAGAAAACGCAGGAATGATCAGAGGAGCGCTTGTGCATGCTCCTAGTCGCGGATTGGCCCGTCCGACTAATCCGAGTCGAATATCTCGATGAGCCAATCAGAAAATCTTCAGAAATCACCGCCAAGACCGACTAGTGTTCGATGGCGGTCATTGACCTCGTCGCCAGAGTCTCACATCGTGTCCGCCGGCATTCCAAGCCCAGATCCGACCATATGAATCAGGAATGCAAAGTAGTAATATCCTGGAAAGGTCGGTAGAATCCTCGACGAGTGCCTGGGAGGACTCCCTTGTCTCATCGTCGGGCAGAGCGACTGAAGAGCAGCACGTCGGCCGTCTGACTGAGGTGAGGCTCAATTCTGAACGGGGCAGTGGGTCACCGGTGCCTCATACGATCTCGGGGGCTCATTCGGAGCGGCTTCTCACTTGTCTCGGTGGCCTTCAATGCTTTTCCCTCGAGCCTACTCCTCGCCTAATCTTAACCCAGTTCCAGTGAAACTCTTGAAGACACTGGATCCGGGTGGCCATTGCAGCCAAGAAGCACTACCTCCTCGCCAACGACGGTTTCTTTCCTGAAGGTAACGCTTTTTCTGATCACTCTCGGTTTGCCAGATGAAGTAGACCGAAAGAAAACGGAGTCGCCATGCATTGAAAGCTTTTCCAAGATATACACAGGAGGCGTTGCTTGCATAACCTGTTCCAATCTGCAGGATTATGTGGTGGTTGTGCTTGTATTTTCTGCATTCTGTGGTCGCGGCAGTCAGCAACAATGGAACCGAAATTAGGGTGAGCGAAAATCTGTGAGCTTCGGACATTCACCACTGCCGATCACTGAGAGAGAATATTGCTCTTCAGAGAGTCTGAAAACTCCTCGAATGATTTCAGCCCTCGCGGAGAGGTTTTGCCAGACTTGATTCGACGAGTTGTGAGCTCTCGGGCTCCAGAAGACCATTGATAGATGTCAGAGCGATGGTGATAAACCCTAACCCGATAGAGTTACCTGGGAGATTCAAGGTTCAAGTTGAGTTCAAGATTCGAGAAACCGTCGATGACCATTTATCGGTGAGACATCGGCGATTCTAAGATTCAGGTAGTTCGACGATCAGGGAATTCAGGGCCGGGATTCTATATGAATCCCACGTAATATTCAATCCGCTTCCGCGAGTCTGATCCTTCATGATAATAATAATGATTAAGATGACACACCCGCCCTAAACTCAAAAGTCCGCTCAGAGGGGAATTCAGGAATGAACAGGAACGTGCTGTGTACTTTTCTCGCGCCAAATACTCTCGTCATGACCCGGACGCCGTGCTGGCTCGTTGCGTAATCTGGGTTACGACTTCAGCGCTCTTTGACTCTTGAGCTCTTCTGACGGAGGGCTCTACCCTTGGTTGGCTGTATTCGAAGATCGAACCCTTGCGAATCGACCGATGATTATTGTGTATGGGCAACGTTGAATCAATACCCGCGCTGAGTCGGAGAATGCTTTCTGAGCTCTGCGATATTCCGCTCATTGGAGGACCCTTTCTAGCTCTCCCTGGAAATGCACAAGAAGTTCCATATCCTATTCGGACTGTACACCTGGATCAAAATACCGTGCCTGAAAGCATCTGGGATTGGATCGTGCACTTACGACGACCTATGCAAATTGGAAATGTTCAACGGGACGCAATGCCACAACATGATCACCGGCGAAGACGTTGAATGCCAATGCCCGTATAGCAAAGTGAGTGGAAGTTCCCCAACGACGATGGAACGACACAAAAACTGATCGACCGCTCGTCGATTTCGATCCGCTCTGGATGCTCGTGAGAGTTTGCGCTTCACTTTGACCACTCGTTCCAACTTACGATTAGAGGCGGCTGCGTCATTGTCCTATTTTGTCTCAAGACGCTCTGAGTGATATTTTGTTCAGACGGCCCGGATCCTGCTTTTGCGAGGTAGAACGTCTCTCTGTCGGGGAGGAGGCTGATGGGAACGATATCGACACATGAGAATTAAGCATCCTTCTCATAATTCTGTCGTTATTTTTTTAAATCTCTTCAAGGGCCATTGGAGACTACCGCCCACGGATTTCCTCATCGACGAAGTTCCGGAACTCCCGGGATTCTTGTTAGAAGGTGATTTCTTCATCAGGGCGAACGTCAAACGAGCGGATCGGCACGTGGCTTGTCACAGCACAACCCTTAAACTCAACCTCCACCAGAACGAACTTTGAGCTCAGCAAATGGCTGAATAGTCTTCTGGGGTTTGAAGGAACGCATGGAAGGAAAACTTGAAGGATGAACTCTGTATATACAACAACCCATAATCCAGAGGCAGCTATAGTGTGCATATGAGTGTTTGTCAATAAGTGAGGCCAATAGCTTCGATAACGGAGACTTCTTGAAGACGTCGGTGCCGCGAAGAAGTGACAGCGATCGACAAGGACGAAATAAAGAAATGTAGGAAAAAGTAAGCGTCTCGTTTATCACACCGAGGGCTCTGTCTTTCCGATGAAAAACGATAATGAATTCATCTCGCCAGCATCGCAGATTTCCCTGTTCTACCCGCCTCGGTAACATGGCCTGATGTTTCTTGACCTGGATGTGCGCTCCTGCAACATGTACGATGCGGGAATAAATCCCACCAGTGAGCTTCGTAGAGATATTGTTGTCGGGAATGAGTAGAGAATTTGGTGATCGGGGCACTGCAATTCAGCTCGGAGCTGGGAGTCTTGCTGGTTCACTCCCTCCCGATCGCGGGACGACAACTTGAGTCCGGAACCCGGCTTGATACAGAAACAACAACAACATTGGCCCCTCTCCCCGGAAAAACTCGGACGCAATGTTGGAGGATACAACAAGCGTGAGCGGAGCGTAACTTTTTATTCATTTCCAGTGTAGCTCCCTTATACAGAAGGAATCAGAAGATTTCCCATCCAGGCCGACTCCCCTCAGCCGAGAAGGATTGTCTTCTGCGCCGTGCGGCATCGGTGATGTTCACGTCGTTGAGCTATACTACATGTGTGGGAAGGATGGGAGCCGTTTTGTATCATCTCCCGGGAAGAGAACAGATAACCCGAGCCCAGATAGACTTTTCCTCGTACCCTCACTCAGAGCCCGCTCTACCGAGACTGTCCATGTGTTACCACCGATGTCATGCCCTTGTCACGTGTTTTGTCGCAGAGCTGAGAAGTTATGGACCCGAAGGCTCGTACTTGTGAATTCATGAAATTGACGCGGGGAGGCCTTATCTTCAAACACCAGGAACGTTTGCAAGAGAATGGAATCACACGGTGGGCTCCAGGAGTGGGAAAGAGAAGCGAGAACCGGGTTCAATGTCATACTTTATTGAATTCTCGAGTTCGTCGGCCACCGAGTGGCAAGTAACTCAACCCTCGCAACAGCCTGAGGGTGGAACAGAAGTCTGCAAGCTCAAAAAAGGTCTCACGTGTTCTTCTCCCATCCAGATCGAGCATCGTACTCGGCGGGGGAACTTTCCATGCACCAATCAGCCGACGACGTACCGGAGCGGACGTCCGGTCAAGGGATGGGGACTCTCGTTTCGAAGTCTGCTGCACTGACGTGCCGATGACTTCAACCAAGCGACGGCATCGTAGATTCAGTCTTTGAACCTCCTGTTCGCATTCGCGCCGAATAGTTGTTTCCGAATCTGTGGCATCATTTGAGTCGAAACCTGTTCGAGTCGCTTTTCCAGAGTGTTATCGATGAAGATCCTGTTCCTGCGAGCATAGAGCTCCATTCCACCTCCGCTGCGAATTGTAGAAAAATTTGAAGACAGGAACCATGCTCGCTCCGAGGTTTCGGGATGTCCGGTCTGAGGCCATATTCGAGCTCGTGAATCTCCGAGAGAGCGCAATCTTCCCTTTGCAGAATTCTCCGCAAACTCACCTCCGGTCGCTGAGGAAGTTGTTCTTATCGATATCGATGGCGCACTTCTTGTTCGTTAGCTGGGTATATTGCTGAGCGACAGTGATCTTCGCTTTCTCAAGAAGAGGGACATCGGCTTTCCGGCAACGGACCAGAACATTCTGCAGAGACACCAATCATTGATATTCAGAACTGAAGAATCCGGGGAACCTCACAGAGGATCTCGGGGAACAGCCTTGTTCATTCGGGTGTAATTCTACGACTCATTGACCTGATATATATCCTTGCCTCTTCGATGAGCTGCAGAAGTCCTTGCAAAAGTAGTTTTTCAAGAATCTCACGGTACTGGTCAGCTCTTGCCGTGACGAACGACAGCTTGTGGCGGGTTTCTTCGATAAGCAAATCGATTCGGTCTTCCTTCTCCCTCAAAACCTTCAGGCGACAGTTGTTCAGCATTTTCGAGCCTTGACTAGGGGAATGGAAGATCGATTCGTCAGTTAGTACCAAGGTCGGTATCAACCACGCGAGTTCATCCGCTCTCGTGGCCAAGGCTCAGGGCGTTTGCGCATGTTCCAAATCGATTATTCGCTCCGCGCCAGAGGGTGCTGCGGGACGACCACTTTGCCCAATATTTCCTCGACTACGATTGTCAGAGAAATTCGTACATTTTCCTCTCGAGCTCGATCTGCCTCCGGCGTTTCTCGATCTCATCCATAATCTTCTGCCTCGCTTCGGTGACCAGCGATCCCTTCGAGAGGTTGAACTCTTCCTCGGCCTTGGAGTCGATCTCATCGGCTTTTTCATGAGCCTCTTGCTCGATGAAGGCCAACATGTGCTGTATCTGCAATCACATGAACCTAGCCCTTCAGATCAGGCGGTTCTACATAGAACGGTCCTCCTCTCTAACCAATTTCCATCCTGCATTTGTTCCCCACGCTTCCGCAGGAGGATCGCGAGTCAGACTGATTCAGTCACGAATCCCATTCGCAGCCAGATAGGATCAGCGAGGAACATTTCTTTTTCGTTCCGATGTTCCTTTCAATGTCCCTGATGCTCGCCATATCTGTAGGACGCACATGATGGGAAACGGCGACATGAGGCTCTTACCGGTCACAGAGCCTTCGCGCGATTCCGGCTTTTCGAAAATCAGCTGACTGTCGCGAATCCCATTCGTCTGCTTCAGTCACGGAGAGCGAAGATCGCAACCCACCTGTTTCTGAACGTAAGTCGGATCCGAAGCGGCCATGGTTTGAATAGAGTCTTAACGAGATTCTCACTTGATTCAGCCACGGAACGTCGTCCCTTGGCGCATCTACTCAAATGAGTTCAAGTTCTCCTCCGTCTGTCGCGCACTCGGTGCGTGAGAGAAATAGAGGAACTCGTGACCGAATCAGGTGGTCGCGGATCGTCATGAGATGCACTAGGGAGGCGCGGAATTTCGAACTCTGCTTCGAGAGCACAAGTTATCACCCTCGGTTTGAAACTCCACCAAAGCGCCAGGATATCTGGGGAGTCTATGTCCGGATCGATTGAGATATATTCATGCAGTAGGTATGGATTCCGAGTGTTCGCTGAGGTCTGCTCGGCCGAACGTCTCGAGACCAGAGAGAAGAAAGGTGTAGAGACGATCGACGCAGAGTCTCGATCTTCCTGTCCACCGACCAGAGAACTTCTCCTGTTCTTCACCTTCCCGACTACGGATGAACGAACACTGGGGATATGATGGATTTTTTGTGCTGTAAGTGATACGGCGCACTGAGTTTCTTTTGCTGGAGCTCAGAGACTCCGAATGAAAAGATCCAAAGGCGCACCGCGGAACGCCCTTGGCAATACCTATGAATAACCTGTTCTGGCGGCTAGCCTGGGCTGAGTTCAGAGGACATCTGATTCTCGATGCGCTACGAGCCCGATTCCCAGGGGAGCTTCAGGTCTGCTATGGTGATTCCCTCATCATTGATACGCCGAAGCGTCCCATGAAGAGACGAGATTTACTCGATGAGCTCAACATTCGGCGTTCACTTTCGGACGGTATCCTCCCGGATCCCCGAATCGCTCATCCCCAAATCGCACATCCCCGAATCGCACGTCCTTAAATCGCACATCCCGCAGACGCCGAACTATGGCACTATGACTCTGGTAGCTGTTTTCCTCTATTTGGTAGACATTTCTGAATAAATTATCCCGGACTAGGACTCTTGACACTTGTCACCCATGTCTCTCTGTCTCCTCTGATCGAGCTAGGAACTTAGGGACACAGAATGAAACCGACTAGATGTACGTACTCAATTAACGATCTCTCATTCGACTCCGACTCGTCTACGAAGCGCACGAGCCGTTCATTGAGGACCTGATACTTTTTTTCCATTGGAGCAAGCTTTCGCCCGTATCTCAGTAGGAGCATGTGGGCCACGATGGCCTCCTGATCCTTCAGATGCTTAATCATCTCGAAATACTCACGAGGCCCTTCTGGACGACCCGGTTGAGCCCCTGATGCCAATTTTCAATGTGGTTGGTAGTTCTTGCGCCGAAGTTCCTATAGTGATTCCATAGACGCCTGGGGAAAACCGATTCGTTTTCAAGCCAGGTGTTTATAGAGTATTCTTTGAAGCCCTCAATTGCTTTTTGGGCTGGGTCCTCTACACCTGGGGATTCGCACTCTATTTCTAGCCAAGCATCATCGATCCTGTGCAGCTTCTTGACGCCAGCTTCGTCGTAGCACGAGTTGAGGCCTAGAGCTTGAACTTTGCGGCACAAACATTGCGTGAAGTGAAAGGAGCATCCTTTTTCCTCCGCGAGAGGAAAAGTCACTTCAATGGCTTTGAGAACCGATGCTGCATTGGAATTGGAACATGATAGGACCGAAACTCTTGCTGATTGTCACCGCGTAGTTCTCCAGGAGCTCGAACATTCGACAGTATGTTTCTTGCCGCTTATCTGGGAGAAGAAAGTAAACCAAAGGGATCATCTTCCCCCTGTAAAAAGCGTGTAAGGAATAGAGCTGGAGGATAAGACTTGGAACCACACGGAATGTTCCATCCATGTAAACTTCTGGCGCATCATACAGGACTCCAATCATTTCCGCCGTGCTGGAACCAATGATACGGTATTCTGAGCCGAAGATCGTAGAGAGCTCGAAGAGATACTCGTCATCCAATGTCCGTGCCCAAGGACCGTCGATGACGATATCAGCCCGAGATTGTGGCAAAGGAGGTCTGATTTTCGATCGAGCGCGATACATGGAGGAGCAAACGTATCGTGGCACGCTCGAGCCGATCCCCGCGTCATCACACCTGGTGAATGATTGCCAATTTCATGAAGCCCAGTCTGGAACCAGAACGGCATCGAATCCAGACGATATGAGCCACGAATGGGAGCAATGTGCTCGTCAAGAATCGATCCATACCTGTTCTGCATTTGCCGAACAGTCTAAACGAGAGTGGTATCGTACACCTCTTCGACTCCTCTCTCAGGATTTTCGAGGACGGCCTGCTTCATTTTCGAGTGGTTGGACCACTTCAGGAAATTGCCTTGATCGATCGACTTCGTGAGTGTGAATTCCGCTAGTGCGTTCCTCAATAAGATCGGGCACTCTGCGGAGCATTGCTCTGGCCGAGCAACCCTCCTCTCGCTTCCTGATGCATCTACAGTAGAACTTATCTTCTTAAGTTTTCTCAAACAAATGATTGTCTACGAGGAACAAGGGTTTCCCTTCCGTGGGAAGAAGCTTTCGGGCATTCATGGCTTCCTCGATTCGGTTTCGACTCAACTGTTGGAAGCTCCCGGCCAACAACGAACAGCATGTTCGATTTCGACCCAAAAGTCCATCACGATGCCACATTCTTTATTCGTCATGCTTACGGCCGATTCCCGCCGAGCAAATCAATCATTCGAGCATGCGGACATAATTCTCCCTGAGCACGCTGTAGCCATAAAGTCCGACGGGTATGGACGGGGCACGCCACCGCCGCCGCCTGGGCCCCAGGATTGGATCTGGATACGTAGGAAGGCCCGGTTCCAGCTCATCGAATCCCGATTCATGTATCGTTCGGGGATTCCCCCGCCATCAGCCATACCCCTCACTCAGGTCAGATCGCTTGCATAGAAGCTTCGCTGACGTTGAGCCGCGCGAAGAGTTCATCCCAAATGGGAGTTTTTTTTCGGGGATGTGCGATTCGGGGATCCGGGTCTTCACCTACAAGACGAGTCGAGGCCTCTTGAACTCGGAACTACTCAGAAAAACGCTCGGGATTCCATCCATCACTATTGATGTCTTCGTTTGATAATCGCGGAGAGAAAGTTCTCATCCAGACACCAGACCGCTCTTTTCACTCGAGACTCGAGCACGATCGGGAATATTTACCGGGAACTTCCTACGGAATCGAAGGCACGCGCCAGAAAGGTCGCCCTCTCAAGGCTTCGAATTCACGGACCCCGATTTCCGCTCCCGAGGTCTATCGGCGACAGAACGAGGATTCAAGCTCGGAGCAGCCTGTCGATATCGGGCCAGCTGAGTCGTTATCGATCGACTGCTGCCTTTCGCTCACGGCAAAATATTTACGGAAGTTGGAGCCCGTCCGTCCGACTGACGGACGGACAGTCAGTCGGTCGAGCGATCCTTCCCAATAAAAAAATCGCATCGTCCGAAACATCTTCCACCACGAGCTGTGTCGATCCGTCACTGAATCACCTGCTGTTGTGTCCAACAACCCCATCCTCTTTTTTGACGCTCAATTTAGCAGACGTCGCTGCTGCTGCGGCTGATGGGAGAACCGTGAACCTCGTCGGGGCTCGCGGACTCAGTCCCGCTGACTTGGATGAGAAATACAGATATTCTGTCTTCGAATAACCAGTTTTGAGTTTTGTCTCCGTTTCCACTCGAGCTCCTCGAATCCGCGACTTCACACAACGACGGATGGGCGACCGCCGCGACTCGTCGCGCGGGTGATGGTAAATGGTAGCCGTGCTGGGATGATAGCTGGAAGCGTCTGCTCTCGTGGTTGTGTGAGGACCTGTATGTTGTGTTTTGGCTCGATGATGATGGCGATCATATATTGCTGGCTTGCTGCGGCAGGCTGCCACTGCTCCCTTCTCGCGCAGCATCAACGCAGTGTGCTGTCGACGAGCTCGAAGAGATCTTCTTTCCCTGGCCAGCCATCTGCCCGTGTCTGATTGCTCAAGAGCAGGTAAGACATCTCGATGGCTTCAACCCCGTATGCGCCGATTCTCTTGCGTCGACACACAATCTCTGCCTTCAATATCGATAGTGTATGAGAGGCATCAGATTTAGACATTAGATGACCATGAATTATCGCATCGATTCGGGAATGAGAATCGATAGGACAAGCTCCGGCTACTGCGCTCGAGATAGGCGGACACTGATTCCGTTGGTAATTCTGATTTTTGATGACCTCTAGACCGGTGGATCGTACGAGTTGCCCCGGTCGAACGGTATCGAGTTCGGAAGTAATTTCCACCCGATCTGGAGGCTTGGAACCTCGCTCCGCAACGGGCTCCGCACTAATAGCGCCTTTCAAGTCAGGGGAGGAGCCCTCTAGTATCGGGATGAACTGCGCGATGCTCTATACGTTTCTGGATGACGAGAACCTTGCTCGCCTCCGCCTGGGAATCCCCACTGAGATCTCGATCTTGCTGCCCTCATCGCCATGGCGCCTCTGAAGAACGTGTCCGAACAGCACCGAGGGCGAAAACTCGGTTCTGGGCGCGACTTCCCACTCCGTGAACGTCGCTGCTTCGATCATCGATTGTTACCTTTCGCGTCTGATCGAACAGACGAATGATACTGTATACTGAGGACCGGGATGCGAGACTTGTTTTTCTAGTTCGGGTTTCGTTTCACGGATCAAGCGGAGACGGATCAGTCCGGACTGGAAACTCCGACGAACCTGCCGTCATCCGAGCACGGTAATTCGAGCCCCTTCCGAATGACCCTCAGACCGTTGTTCGGGTCTGGATCCACGGGATACCACGGATGACGTCGCCCTCGTCTAACGAATCTGGATTAGAATAGTTCTGGAATTCCGAATGACGGGAGACACGTCCGTCACCGTCCAGACAGATACGTTACATCTCTCAGACGATCCGCCTGGAATCTGAATGAAAGGTTGCCCGAAAAAAATGTTTTCCCTCTCGGTGTCGTCGTCGAACAGCGAGCCGATCGTCTAGTCGTGCGATTGATGAGATCGATTCTCCGCCGCATATCCGCCGGTAGTATTCTGACGACGTCCCACAAACATGGTAGCGTTGGCATTTCTGTCTCATTTCCCATTATTTGGACCAGGTCCGAATCAGCCATAATCAGCGGTCACCGTCTTGATCTTATCTTATATCTCACGCCCTCAACGGCGGAGAAGCGTTACGTGAGGCAGTCTTCCCAGTCCGCTCCTAGAGCGAAAGCGGAGTGGCGTTGTCTTCTGGTGTAACTCCAGTGCTGGACGGTACATAGTGTGAGACTTCTCTAGAATTAGTGAGTAGATTGATTATCCGTGCTGCTCCTGCCTCGGATTCTCCTTCTTGACAGGCATGTCGGGGGTTGAGACCTTTTGAGATGCATCTCTGACGCATTCGAAAAACTAAAAGTTCGGACATCTGTTCCTGAACCCCGAAACAGCACGAGCTCCCGGACTGAGACGGGAGGGGAGGGTTCGGGGCGTCTATTGAGACTGCCGACGGAGCTCTAGCACGTCTAAGATTGATCGTTCCCCCGTACTTCCTGCACGAGCCAATGTTCTCGTCCGAGAACTCGAGATCTGTCATCTCCTGAGCATTCGCATCGCGGATAATCACCACTTGTTCCTCTGTGCTCGGACAACTCTGACCTCTCGATCTCAACTAGGACCCTTGAGTTCCGAGGGAGTTTGAGAAGCTGCGGGAAGCGCCTCCCGAGTGAAATCTCCGCGCTGCCATCCGGCTGCGGACTCCCAAGATGGATATGATACTTCCCCGGAATGCGAAGACGCTCTGGTGAAATACTCCGTCGGTCCTCGCGAAGGAGCGACAGAGAAGCAAGCGAGCTCGGTAACGACCTCTGGCTATCCGGCCATTAGGCCAGAGGGGTTGCGCAACCACAGCAAGAACAGCGAGCCGTCCTCTTCGGCGGCAGCGCATCGCATGAGTTCGAACCCCTCTCGTGCGCGATCCTCCCCCGCATTGCCTCCACGAGCTCTGCGGTCTCGATTTCTCCGGCGATACATTGGATTGAACACATTTTTCCCGTCTGACGAAGAATTCCTTCCTCCAGGAAGCACCGATAGGCACCGCCCTGACCTCCACAGCTTCCACCTCGGGCTCGGAACCTTGGAAAGAGCTCATCCAGGATCTCGAATCCAAGGACCGCACTCGGACCAAACCGATTCCACCGCCTGAAAAGCCGGCTGGTTCCAAGCACATCATGCCTAACATCAAAGTCTTCTCGGGCTCCTCACATTGCGATTTAGCGCAACGTGTAGTGGACAGACTCGGGATCAACCTCGGGAAGGTTGTGTTGAAAAAATTTTCCAATCAAGAGACATGGTAAGCAGAGCAGCGCTTCGCGAGCAGATCGGGCGTTCTTAGCCTCCGAGAAACCGTCTCTTCGGTGATCACAGTCTTGCTCATTAGGCTTTGATGTTTATGCTGAAAGGAGAGCCTGTGTTCTCGATGTGACAGAGCGAGTAATTTTCGTTGCCTCGGTGTGAACAAGACATAGATTGAACTCCTGTCAGGGCTCTTTGTTGTCCGGCGGCACGGAGATTCCGCTCTTAAGATAAAATCGAGGTCTGTTTAGGAACGAATTCCTCAACGCACACGCTAATGAACGTTCTCTCGTGCAGTGTGGAAATCGGCGAATCTGTTCGTGGCGAAGACGTCTACATTATTCAGAGCGGATGCGGTGAAGTCAACGATAATTTGATGGAGATGCTCATCATGATCAACGCATGCAAGATCGCTTCTGCTTCGCGAGTGACGGCAGTCATTCCCTGTTTCCCCTACGCTCGACAGGACAAGAAAGACAAATCGCGAGCCCCAATTTCAGCCAAACTAGTGGCCAACATGCTTTCAGTGGCTGGGGCGGATCACATCATCACGATGGATCTGCATGCCTCACAAATTCAGGGATTCTTCGATATTCCCGTAGATAATTTATACGCTGAGCCGGCAGTTCTCAAATGGATCAGAGAGAACATCCCTGACTGGCGGAACGCCATCATAGTGTCCCCAGATGCCGGGGGAGCCAAACGGTGCGTCTTTTTCTATTCATCACTAAGTTCTGTGGGATAGATCGATGTTCATTGCGGTCAGTGTTCATCATTGTCCCCGAGAGGCTGACCGACTCCTTTCGGAACAGGGTGACCTCGATCGCGGATCGGCTCAACGTCGAGTTTGCCCTGATCCACAAGGAGCGAAAAAAAGCCAACGAAGTCGCTTCAATGGTTTTGGTCGGAGACGTTCGAGAAAAAATCGCCATCCTCGTGGACGATATGGCCGATACCTGCGGAACTGTGTGTCACGCTGCTGATAAGTGAGTATCGCTGATCGACGCATCGTTCGCAATCTTATCCGATGCCGACGAGATTGTTCTCGATGTCGACTGGACATTCCGTGACGAGATCATGGGAGAGGACGGGATTGCTATGCCTCCTCCGAGCCCACGACATTCCTCTGCTGACAATATATTTTCTTTCCTGCAGACTGGTCGAGGCTGGTGCACAGAAAGTCTACGCTATTCTTACCCACGGAATTTTCTCTGGACCCGCAATTCAGAGGATCAATTCGGCTGCATTTGAGGCTGTGGTCGTCACAAATACGATTCCCCAAGACCAACACATGAAAGATAGCGCGAAAGTACAATGCATCGACGTGTCGATGATCTTGGCCGAAGCTATTCGAAGAACTCACAACGGAGAGTCAGTGTCGTATCTGTTCAGCCATGTGCCCATGTAATCACGTCGAATTTCTCCGTTGGAAAATGCTAAGCCCGAGTCAATGTTGGTGACAGACAAGAGCGGGGCTTGAACGATCCGCCTAGCTACGCAATTCATTCTGAGCTATCGAGCCAGCGAACGGGCGCAAACGCAAATAATGAATAAAAGATATCGTACTATTCTCGAGACGATGACGCGAGCGGAGTCGGAGATTTCTTCACTCAGTCCATGGGATGGTTTACGCGAGAAACTTTCGCTCACATTCCATTCATCCATGCATTCATTCTCCATCGAGTACGGTAACGAGGACGGCATGTGATTTTTCCCGGCAGAGAGGCATATGCTACGCGGGTTATACTTCGGGAATAAATTTTCTGTTGACAATATAATCAGAGCGAATTGTTTTCAGTATCTCACATGAATGCTATCGGCGCGATTAGACGTAGCAAGTCACCTCCGAGTTAGGATACATTCGTTTGTCCCGGTTAGCGGACATACGGCTTAAATTCTAATTGAAGATCCACGTCGGGTTCGAGAAGTTTGGAAACGCCTCGCGGAACAAAGGTATAATCCTGATGCGCTGTCAATGGAGCGGCTCCAGCCATGAATATGAGCACTATTCGTATATCGATATTTCTTTCGTATTTGAGCTCAAATCTCCACTTTTCACCCATGGTCGTCCCTTTGGGCTCTCCTCTCGCACAAGGTTGCAGCTTCTATGCTGAAGCTTCTCTGAGATCACACCTCTGGCGGGAGAGGGCCGCCGCGGAGGCGAACCACAAACAAGACCACGTGTGTTTTCATTTTCGAGCGGCGGCTCTCGCTTCTGCTATTGCTGCTTCCTCTCCGACGTTGAGCGCTCCTATAAGCCGAGACGCGTTTTCGCGCTTTTGCCAGTTGAAGACCTGTATCTGAAACTTCCGCGACCTAAACTCCGCTCTGATTTGACGATGACTGACGAGGTCAACCCCAAAGCCTACCCATTGGCAGACCCAGGTACGTATTGTCGGGAGCACGGTGAACTGCGGAGGAGCACCTATAGATCTCGTTCGAAGCGACGAGACGATGTCGCATGTCGCTTCGTGCTTCGGCACGTGTTTGGCGAATTTTCAGACCTCGAGGAGCGGCTACCCGCGACTCGCAACGCGGAGCTCGATGTGAGTAGCCGCTCCTCTCGGTTTCAGTACGAATTTCGTAATTCCGGTCGGTTCGCGTTTTTTCGAGTTACCGGCTCCGAACCGCTACAACGAGACGCTACAAACCTCAATGCCTAAATTGCTTCGATATTCCGTGCTCTGAGACTAATGTCGCATGGAGTGTCGATCTCTGTCGGCATCGGTACGAAGTAGGTTTCCCCCAGTGTGAAGCCCCTGCATTTTCCGTTGGATGGACTCGTTTTGACGCATTTTCCATCCGCCGCAGAGCTATCCTCCAAAATCCTTAACCTCGTGCAGCAGGCCACGAACTACAAACAAATGCGTAAGGGTGCCAACGAGGCTACGAAAACTCTAAACAGAGGTGAGTATCGCTCCCGATCTTGCCTTGCAAATGCTACTGCCTCGATATCGTGACATTGAATCTATGCGCGACGACCTTCCATAAAAAAAACTCCGCTCTCCCAGGTATTTCGGAGATGATCATCATGGCTGCAGATGCGACACCCATTGAAATTCTCCTCCATCTCCCGCTGCTCTGCGAAGATAAGAACGTTCCGTACGTCTTCGTTTCATCGAAAACAGCTCTCGGCAGAGCTTGCGGCGTGTCTCGAGCGGTCATTGCTGCTTCGATCACCTCGAACGAAGGATCTCAGCTGAAGCCGCAAGTCGAAGGCCTAAGAAATGAAATCGAGAAGCTTCTTGTTTAGGCTCTGCGTCACCAGCTGACGGCTGCAGTTGTGCGACCATTTTTTTCAAATCCGTTAAAAATATACAGTCTCAGGCTTCTCGCTCTGGCTTGGAGCGGAAAATGTGGGCGATCTTGAATACATAGGTGTGACTCAGAAAATGAATGAGTGTAGTCTCTTGAAGGTCCTGGTCCCCTCAACCCTGGGCTTGGACTGCTGAATCATGTCTCGGATCTCAAGAAGTGCTGAGAAGGCAAGGCACGCAAGATCCGCTCATCGAGAGTGAAAATTCCAGAGGCAGCTGGCGACCGGGGTGCCTACTAATCTAGAAGCAGCTCGGCAGCTCCAGGCGAAACAAATTCTCGGAATAGGAAACGTGTCCTTTTTCCACGACTCGATTCCCGATTCACATACTCGTCATTCCCTCTCTATCGTGAAACCGAACAAAGATTGTACACTCGAGTTTCCTTCTCAGAGAATCCGACATCCGATCTAGACTTGACGCATTCCATTACCATCGCTCTCCCTAAATAATGAATAGTTCAGAAATCACAGGGGCTGACCGCAACCGAAAAATATTGAAGAAATTGCTCAAGGTTGGCCGATGCTATGTTCAAGAGTACCGACTCAAGTCTCTCCACGAGCATCCCGGATTCGGGAGAGTCGGTAGAATGCGGGACCCTGATTTCCCACATGTCCCTCTCCAATTCATCGTCAGTGATCGTGATTTCATGTTGGCTGGACAGAGAGCGGAGGAGCCCTCCTCATAGACTTCCTGTTGAAGCAAAAATTTCCTCCTACTCCATATATCGGGAGAGCCGCCCAAGACGATCCGTTCTATCTCGCATGCATGACCATAATGGAGTCATGGTGTTGCATGACAATCTCTCTCTCTCGATTTTCGGCCGAGACGTTTCCTCCTTCGGCGGACTCTCCTCTAGGTTTCCGGCTCTAAGGCCCGGAAATCCGGATTCGGGCTAGCGATCCTCGGATTAGCCATGAGAGAGGCGTAACGTTATTTTCTATCGGTCACATTCAGTTTTTTCAATTCGGTCTCGGATATTTAGAGTAGAAGTTCCGGGAGCGGTGACCATCTTGTGGACCTGTAAATCTACTTCCTACCTCCGCGAAAATTGTGGAGTTCCCTACATGAATAGGGCCGCGGAGGCCCCCAATTTCGTCGCCAGTAGGATTTCCGGTATGGCTCGGGAATTCGTGGGAGTATACGCGTATGTTCAGAGGAAATCGAGCTCGCAACCATCAGCGAAACATAGATGTCCGGGTCAGTTTTTCTGAGCGGCTCACAATCGATTATAACCGATACAATGATGAGCGGCGAACCTCCGCAGACCTTGGGCATGAAATAAACTTACAACTTATAATACGTGAACATAATCGATCGACGCCATCCGGGCTATTTTTGGAGGTGAAACCAAGTGTGCATCTCTGCGGTATTCGGATTCCTCCGGCGGATTCCGTCAAACCTCGTCGGGACATCTCCTACTCGAAGTGGTCTTTAGTCAAATCCTCAAATGGACTCGAACACGGGGTTCGTCGTTCCCCACGATAATCTATTCTTCTCGACGCTCATATGGAACTGTGTCGAAGTCAGAGATCCGGGAGTGATCCCGGGATACCCGGAAACGAAGGGCAAGCTCCACTGACGCCTCGGGGAATTACCCGCGTCGATCAGGCGCGTTCTACTGGGGAATGTGGTTCCAAAACCAGCTCTCACGGCAAAGCGTCGAGAAGTTTATTGGGGCCGATTTTGGCGATTGAGCTAGTGTCCTCTCTAGGAGATAGATGGATGGGGATAGAATCGAGGGACTAAAAATGGTCGAGACCCTGACTTGCCTGGTGTGCGGTATGGACTTGGGGTGAGCAACAAAGCCCGATGGCGACCTTCCGGAGTACGAGATGCATCGTGGATCTGATCGCACTCCCTTTTCCTGACGCAGGAGAAATCCGGCAAGGCGCGCCGGCTGCCAAGTTTCCTCTTCCATCCCACTCGAGAATGTCTCAATTCTCTGGAGAATCATGGGGAATTCGCAGTCATCTGCAACAAGTTCAGCTCAATCATGAGATTCCGTCAGTTCCTGATTTCCCGAATATCCGACAGCGTCCCACGATCTCCCAGTAGCCCTGGGAGCCTCATCGTGATGAGCGTGGGAGTATCAGCTCCTCTGGAATATCAAGGTAGCCTGCGATTCTCCGGGCCGAGGAGCCTTGGTGGAAGAGTATCAAGACATTCCGTCCCTTCTTCGATCCTATACGAACGTACTTATGAGTGTCAACCTCGAGCCTGTCCTAATCGCGAACTCCGTCGGAAGTTCCCACACATGTCAGGGAGGGCATCAGAAACTTGTTCTTTCGCAGACTGTGCCCTCTTATCGGGCCTGACTCCATGAAGTTCCGTGAAACCCAGCTCTCGTCAACACTCCTGTCTCCCCCTAATCGGAAACGATAGCTTCGATGACGAATCGAAATTTTCAATTATTTTTTCTCAAATGATTTGAAAATAACCCCTGTCCTCCATTAGCCCTCAATTGATGGATGGGGAAGACAGAGACGCACATGAGTTTCTCCTCAGTGTTTTTTCCACGTGCTAGGAGACTTCTCTGAGGGTACACGGGAGGAACATTCGTCATGCATGAAAAAAAAAACGCACCGGCGTCGTAAATTCTGCGAGAGAATTGATGATCTTTCACCTACGACATTTCTATTGCTTGACTCTCTCCTCACCTGCGCGCCCGACTCCACGGCGGAGGGGCGGTTCTATTGCATCTATCTTGCAATTAACTCGTGACATCTCCGAGGTACCTGGCGCAACTTTGTTACATCCCTCTGCTACCCGGAAGAGGCTCGAAGTCAATGATTGTTGATTACAGCGCCCTCGATATCGTTGCTGCACTGGGAGTCACTGGATCGACATCGAGAGCGAACTTCCCCCTTTTCGCAAACTCTGTGAAGCGAGTCGAGGTAATCGGTTGACGATCGTCCATGCTATGCTCCGAGCTCGGACACTTGGGCAGATCCTAGACGCTCGGATAATTTCATCGAAACTTCCCTATCATCAAATATCACCGATATGCCTCTGTCCAGAGACGGTGCCCCGGTTTTTAGATTTTCATGCAGGGAGCTCGAGGTTCCCAATAGAGCTCGAAATCTGTCAATGGGATCAGCTTGGAAGCAGCAGGAACGGAGCCTGCATGGCATCTTCGCCGAAATTCTCGGCTCGTCATTACGTACTGACATGACGCAAACGTGAAATTCCCGACCGACCGGGAGCAAGCCAGTACTTCAAGTGGTCATTGGTCTCATTGTCGGCATGCTTGTTTTATTGCAACAGATGCGGGAGGATACCCCTCCACATACACTCCTTTCTCTCGGTGACACAATGATTACAGCTTTCAGTTGGAAGTGAGCTTTACGACTGAGTGCACCTACACAGAGAGAAGCAGGAAGAAAAAATATGTTGTAAATTCGAAATTTATTTTTCCGAGACAAACGATCCAAACCCTTGCACATGAGAGCGCACTTGAGATCGGTTGTAACGACCCTAGCTGACAAAAACTAACAATTCCGCTCAGGCGGCGGGAGCCTCGCGCCCTTTCCATGGAGCGGTCGCTCCTGAGTATCCTCGGGTCGAAAGAAATTATCGAGGAGCTCGAGCTCCGGAGCGTGGAATCGAAAATCTCAATTGTCTCCCGGGCGTTGATGCATGCCGTTGCGGGTATAGTAGTCGCGGTGGACATCGTTTGCTGTTGATTTTTCCTGCTCATTCACTTTGATATTGATGGGCCGATGTTGCTTCCGGAGGATCGAGTTGAGCGCCTGTGAATAGCATCCGTGACATCGACGCCCATTGGCTCATCCAACTTTCTCGTCTCACAGTCAATTCAAAGAAATCAGCTTCCGTCGACGTCTCTAATCAAATTCTCATGAACTGGGGCCATGCAGGAAACACCGGCGTAACTTGTTCCATTGAGACTCATCCACGCATCGGATAGCTTCGCCCTTTCGTTGAACGTCGTTTCCGATATAAAGGAGCTGTATTTTCCTAGATGGCATCCATTTTTCATCTAAAACGCCGCGTCATGAAGCTCGCGCTCGCTCCCGGATCGTATGTTGGGTTGCTTTCAATATTTTGCTCTCTTGGCGGCCTCTCGCATGCAGGTGAAGCGGGTCGCTATCTCAAGTTGCCAGAATCCATCGCATCCGTCGTTGTTCTCCCCCATATCAAGGAGGTAAGTCCATCCAAGGCATTTCAGTTGACCCAGAGCTCTCGCAGTTGAGCCTTCCGGTAGTACGATATCCTTTCGAACCTCGCATAATCCTGGTTTGGTTCTGCTGACATTCTCCCCCTGCTCAGAAAATCAATCTGTATCCGAACACGGACCTTCTTGTCGGAGTGGGTTTTCCGATCGAGATGGCCGTAACTGCCCCGAAACCTCCACCGCGACCTCTGCCCTTCATTCCTGAGACTTTTCTGCCAGCCTTGCTGTCGCTCCCTGATGCGACAAGCACTCGCGGTAAGTCGCTTGATAAGAAATACCAATGTTCCCGATCCTAGTTATGTTGCTCCGTCAACACAGTCGACTTGAAGAAGTCTCTCATGCCGCCAGGAGAGGCGGATATGGAGAGCAATAGTGTTTCGCACGACGCGAGACGTCGATCGGGTCGTTCTCTCATGGAAGGGATTCCACCGAACATCCTGCAGAGACTTCAGCTCTATAAATGTGAGTCGAGAATAATTCTCCTTGCGCATCGACGTCGCATCAATTCAGTGAGCAGTGAGAGCCCGGTTCAAGCTCCACGAGGAACATTCACTATGATATGTCTCTCCGCAGCCATTGCGGTCTCGATGTCGCGGCTGGGGATGCCCGGAGATTCTTGCGTTCAGCGTGCCATATGCGAGGCCTCCATGACGACGCAAGCTAGAGACGAGATCCTCATGGGGGAGCTCATAAATGTCGTTCTGAGGTTAGTCGACTCGCAATATCGACAAAAATCGTTTCGGAATTCAAGTTAGGAAAAGTATTCAAGGTCTGCTTTCGATTGAAAGTTTTCGTGTCACCTTGCGTATCTCATTCCCGCAGCGTACCAGAGAACAACGTTCCGGAAATGCTGGACTTCAATGAAGCCCGACTGGTT